TTTTTGTGAGGAGTAGTAATATATGTGAAGAGCCTTATTGTGGCATCTGATATGTAGTAGACGTTCCACAAAAGGTAGCCTTATTTTTAATTGAAGCATATTTCCTATAACATAGCACTCACCACTTAAACCATTTTAAGGTGTGTGCAATTCAGTGTTTCTTAGTATATTCACAATGTTCTGGAACCACACCACTAGCTAATTCCAGATTTTCATCACCCGAAAAGAAATCCATGTTACCCATTAAGTAGTCACTTCCCGTCACTCCCTCACCCCTTGCCCTAAGCAACTACTAATCTATTTTCTGTGTATACAGATTTGCCTGTTCTGGATATTTTATCTAAATGGAACATATAATATGTGGCCTTTGTGCGTGGCTTCTTAGAATAATATTTTCAAGATTCATCCATGTTGTAGCATGAATCAGTCTATCACTTCTTTTTATGGCTGAATAATATTCTATTGTATGGATATTCCACATTTTGTCTGTCCATTTATAAGTCAATGGACACTTGGGTTGTTTTTACATTTTAGCTGTTATGAGTAATGCTGCTATCAACATTTGTGTGTGCAAGTTTTTGTGTGGACATATGTCTTCATTTCTCTTGATTGTACAACTAAGAGTGGAATTACTGGGTAACATGGTAATTCTGTGTTTAACATTTTGAATTGCCAAACTGTCTTCCACAGTGGCTGGCCCATTTTACATTCCCACTAGGAATGTATGAACGTTCCAGTTTTTCCACATCCTTCCCAACACATTATTATTATTATTGTTGTTAATTATAGCTATCCTAATGAGTATAAAGTAGTATCTCATTGTAGTTTTAATTTGCATTTCCTTAATGACTGATGATGTTGACATATGCTTATCAGTATATCCTTTTTTTTATTATTCTTTCATTAAACATTTTTGTTCGATGAGTCCATATCGTGCAGCTAGACTTATGGTATGGGCCCTACCCTGATGTTACTTACTCTCCAGTGGGAAAGGTAGACCACTAAGCAGATAATTGCAACATAGTAAGATAAAAGGCTACAAGGAAGGTATGTACAATGTGCAATGGGACCTTTGAGGAGAAAGGTGGGGTTTAGTGGAGGCTGAGCAGAGTTTGTCAAGCAGGCAAGGAAGGAGGGGGACATTCCCATTAGATGGAAGAGCATGGAGCCTCAGGTATAGCTGGTGATGGTGGGGCCTCCTATCATCAGGTGGGGAGTGGAGTATTACCTCCAAGCCAGGAAGGTGGGCAGGTTTCCACCTCAAGAGGCAAGTTTGCCCCAGGCTCCAAGCCAGCAGGCAGTGCCTGCTGAGCTTTATCATCCTCCGGTGCATTTGTCTGCACAAGGCTCTTGTTTTCAAGGCACATTTACTGAGTTGATTTGACCCCCACTGGAGGCAAATGTTATATCCATTTCTACAGAAAGAGAAAAATGACACTTAATGAGGTAGCAGCTTGCTCAACTTCTCATACCTACAAGGTGGCAGAACTGGTCTTGGAATCCAGGTTGTCTGACTCCTCATTCTTTACACACCTGCATACTGGACCTCAGCTGTTACTAATAGGTATTCAAGGTCATTTATTCTCTAGCCCCTTACCTTCCTTCCTCACCTCCCTCCTACCTATAACTGAACCATCTCTTATAACCATTCCAGTCTAAATGTTTTCCCAACTTTCCTCTTTTGGCTTCTTTTATTTCTCCCATCTTGTGTGGTCCAGATTCTCACCAACCTTAAATGGCTATCCTTTTATGAATACCAGCTGTTCAAGTGCCATTCACTACTCAAGTTCTTAACATACAAAATTGATCATATTCACAGCATTCTAGCAATGTGAGTAGGAATTATTTACTTCAAGTCATAGATGAAGCAATAGGCTCAGAGAAGTAAAGTAACTTATCCAAGATCACCCAGCAGGTAAGGAGTCTAGCTCAAATGCCACCTCCTCTCAAAAGCCTTCCATGGTTAGACTTTACCAAAGTGATCTCTCTTGCTCCTGAAATCTTCTAGCAGTTATTTCTCCCTTATTCATATTCTGTATTTGAAGTCTTGGGTTATCTTTGTACACATTTTTATCTTGTGTCCTCTCTCTTGCTCCTGAAATCTTCTAGCAGTTATTTCTCCCTTATTCATATTCTGTATTTGAAATCTTGGGTTATCTTTGTACACATTTTTATCTTGTGTCCCTGTATTAGTCTGTTTTTGTTGCTATAACAGAAATACCTGAGACTGGGTAATTTATAAAGAACAGAGGTTTATTTGGCTTACAATTCTGGAACAGCTGCCTCTGGCACGGGCCTCAGGCTGCTTCTAATCACGGCGGAAAGCAGCAGGCAGCTGGCGGGTACAAGCAGATCACATGGTGAGAGGAAGCAAGAGAGAGAGAGAGGAGGTGCCAGGGTCTTTTAAACAACCAGCTCTGGTGGCAAGTAATAGAGCAAGATCTTACTCATTAATCTCCCCTCCCCCAGGGAGAGCATTAATCCATTCATGAGGGATCCGCCCCCATGACTCAATCAGTTTCCAACACTGCCACATTGGGGATCAAATTTCCACATGAGTTTTGGAGGGGACAACACATCCAAACTCCACTGGTCCCCAACTGTTCATTCGTGTGTGTCCCCAGGGCCCAGCCTTGATCCTACAGAGTATAAATTCTCAGCAAATGCTAATCTGAAGCATAGGAGAAAAAGCTCTGAACCTGGGTTATGTAGTCTGGGTTCTTGGACATTCATGTTCTGACACTAACTTCTGTGACTCTGTACAAAGATAAGCTTTCCAGGATGAGAACCTGTCTGCCCTGCTCTTCCTTTATCCCTAGAGCTGATTGTCGCATGAATGGATGCATGGACTTTACCATTTGGAAACTCATTTTTCTTATTTTCATTTTGAAAGGGTTGAATGAGATAATCTGAGCGTTGTCCTCTGTTCAAATATTGCCTATTTTTGTGAGTCTGAATGATTGCTTTTCTGCACACCAACATGATCCTGAGCTACAGAGTTTAAGTTCCAGGAGGCAAAGCATGGCTTATCATTTCCAGTTTGGTGACTGCCTCTCAAACATTTGCCCTTGAACTTGTCAAACTGAAGAGCAGCCCAGGAGCTTTGCCCCCAACACATACACAAGTTTTAACACTACTCTCTCATCCACTATATCTCTGTCTGTCTCTCTTAGTTTTTTTACGTGTGTGTATATGCACACACACCCCATTTCACGATAATTTCATTTAAAGCACTCTCTTTAGGTTTTACATTTTAGCAGGGTTTTTTTTGTTGTTGTTGTTGTTTTGGCTTAGAAAGAGTCAACAGTGATTTATAGGAGGGCAGCAGTCGCTGTTTTAGAAAGACCAGTCCATGCTTAACCCATTGGATGTATTTTATAGGCATAAAGAGAGTAAGAACAGGCCATTCTTGTGAAAATAGAACACAAAAATTGCTCTTCCGCTTATCAGGAAAGGCCGTTTTCATCAAGGGAAAGGCCGTAGGGGTGTTCACAAAGACTTCCTCCCTTTTTTTTCCTGAGCTGTTCCTTTACACTCCATACCCCGCTTAAGTTATTTCTTTGTTTTTTAAGTTAAATCTTTATCCACCTTATGCTTAAAGGAATAAAATGATTCAGAGCACACTGATAATAACAATTATCAAATCCCATTTATTGAGTGCCCAGTGTATACCAGGCACTGTACTGTGAGTTGTGTGAATTATTGCTGTCATCTCCACACTCCTGTTACAGAGGAGAGACCTGAGCTCAGATGGTCCAAAGCCCTTAGCTACCCCTCTCACCCTGTTGTGGAAGAGCTGAGGTTCACACTCAGGTCTCTGTAATACTGGAGTCCCACCTCTGACTTTCTCTCTGACCAGTTGTGGCTCCATTCCTAACATTAGCATTTAGGTACATTCTAGAATATTTATGCAGTTATAAGTGTCCTTCTCAGCTTTACTAACAAGTTGTGAAGAGAGAAGTCTGGCCTGGGAGAAGTGTAAGAACATGTTTAACACATGCACATGTGTGCGTGTGCACAGACACACAGCACACGCTCACTCTCACTCACACTCACACACATGCTCCCACATGAAGACCGTTGGAGACTGGCTTTAACCAGCTCCTTGGCCACGTGTCATGTCCAGCATTGGGCAACATGCTAGAAAATGCATTTACAATACAGCAGTGGGCACCTTTGAGGAGTATAAGAAACAATAATTCCCAAAGTCCCAGTTCAAGCCCAGGACACAAAGTATTTTACCACAAGGGGCCAGTTCCTGAGCAGGTTCAGAGTTTTACCTCAGGAGCCCTCCTGTTTGAACTTTACTTTTGACATCTCCAGTGAGAGACAGATCTGGGAAGTACAGTTTGAAATCTCTGCAGGAAAAAAAACCAAAACCGAAAACAAAAAAACAAGCCTCTCATCTTATGTGAGGTTGATCTTGAAGAGTAAGCAAGTGAAGAGCGAGCCCTTTGCATCTGTGCAGCACTGTACACTTTGGAATGCACTGGAGTGTGTGTTGTGAGCACGAGCGTGCCTGGGCGAGGTGCCAGAGGCCTGCGGCCTATCCCTGGCCCTTCCTCAGACTCGCACCTTAAACATGCTTCTTCCGTCCTCTGCGTTTGAGTTTCCTCATCTGTAAAATGAGAAAATTGAGCCGGTTGGTTGGTGAGGTCCCTCAAACTCTGTTGTTCTGTGATTTGATACCAGTAAAAAGTCAGTACGTGTTACTTGTTACTCTTCCCACATCTGCCGTACCTCAGTCTGTCTTATGGCAGGGCTGTGGGGAGGTCCCTGACCTTCCAGCTTAGACTGTGCCTCCATAAGAGCGGTCATCACTTTTATGCCTATTGGACCTGAGCAGGCAGAAACCCACCAAGTTTTCTTGGGAAGACCCTTGATTTAGAAAGATCTCAGATGTTGAGGGATTCTAGAATTCCATAAAAGACCACCCTTCAAGGTGTACTTACAGAAACCCCTAAGCAAATTCACTGAGTGCTATTTCCACACTTCGTATGGCAGTGTTTTTAGCAAACACCCTTGATCCTAGAAAAGCACCTGCACTGGTGCTTTTAGAATCCCTGTAGGCAGGAGGGAACAGTCCTTGGGTTTGTTTGTTTTTCTTTTTTTTAACTGGTCTGGCCTCAATTATTTCCTAGCATTTAGGGTTTTGGGCATTTTGAGCATTTTGACTTATAATGAAACTTGTTTTCTTGATATGCATTTTAGAAGATAAATCTGACCTTGAAAACAGTGTGATGCAGAAGAAAATAAAAATCCCCAAACTTTCTCTCAATCACATAGAAGAAGATGGGGAGGTTAAAGATTATGGGGAAGAAGATTTACAGCTTAGACACATCAAGGTAACAAAATCTTTCCTTTTTCTGGAAATATTCAGGAGCATTTTCAGATTTCTCATAGCTAAAGAATTCCAGTCTGGTCTCCTCTCCCCACATAAATGTCCGCTGGTGTCAAAGGCCACAGTTTTTTTCGGGGTGGGTGAGGCTTGGGACAGCTAGTGTGCATTCGCCCTGCTGGCCAATTTTCTCCAGCCTATAGCTCTGGAGAGGTCACTTCTAAGCTCCAGGAATATTAAACAGCTGTTTTGGGGCAGCAGCTTAGAGCCAGTCACTATCAGATTGCCCCAAACAGCTAAGTGTGGACTCATTGGGAAAACAAGGTTTACAGAGGGGGTTTGTGGGACCCTGGCCTGGACAAAAACCTTTACGTGAGGTTGCATTTCCTTGCTGTGTGCCTCAGTTGGTCTCCTCCAGCCTTCACTTTGTAAACCAGCTGAAAATCTTGTTCAGCAAGCTGTTTTTCTGTGCAATGAGTACCCCAAAGGAAGGAAGAGGGAAAAGAAGGAAGAATGCTTTCTGCATTGACCATGGTCTGATTTTGGACACGAGGTCAAGGATGTTCCCAAGGCATAGTCCAAAAGACACAGTTGAGTTCAGCTTATAAATTCATTGCACCCCTGCTGTGGGCCTGACCCTGTACCAGCCCCTGAGGTCATGGAGATTAGCCAGGGGTTATCCCGGGATCTCATAGTAGTGAGGCAGACAGATGTGCAAAGTGATCATTACAATTTTAGCTAATAAATTCATCTATACTAGCAGCACCTTATCCAGGCAGATAAAACAGCGTAGGACTTTTGTCATGTAACTTGATCTCAGCGTCCTGGTTTTGTTTTGTTTTCCTTAAATTTCCTGAAGTTTAGTGAGAGGTTAAGGCAGGCCTGACCTAACACAGTTAAGTTGTCCAGAATCTCGTGTCCTCAGTTGTCTGACCTCCCACAAGTGCCCCTGGTCATCCTGAAGTTTAGTGAGAGGTTAAGGCAGGCCTGACCTAACACAGTTAAGTTGTCCAGAATCTTGTGTCCTCAGTTGTCTGACCTCCCACAAGTGCCCCTGGTCAACAGAGCTCCTAACCCTCCTACCCTTAGTAAGAATTCAGTTGTTCCCATAACTCCTGCTGCCCCTCAGTGGAAGCCAAGTCCACTTGAGCTGGAATTCCTCAGGCAGCTGAACTCCCATCCCCCGGGTAGTCTCTTCTAAAAGAACTTTTCCTCTCTATATCTACTGTCTTGCTGAGGGAGAGGCTGGCAAATGGGGAAAGAGCCTTGTGCTAGAAGTTGGGTTCCAAATTCTGGTTCTGGCTCTGTCAGTAACTCACCTTGTGACTCTGAGTGTAGTCCTTTCCCTCTCTGGGCCTCAGTTTCCTCACCTGTAAAACAGGGAATTAAACTGAAAGTACCTTCAAGTGCTAGCATTCTTTGAGCTGTTCAGTTGAGAAAACATTTATAAAGCCCCTGCTGAGTGTGAGTTCTGAGTGAGTAGGCAGTGGAGAAAAAGAAAATAAGACATGGTTCTTGCCCTAGATTAGATTATAGAGTTTTGAACATCCTTCCCAACTAAAGCATTCTTGAGGAAAAGGTTACATGGCGGAATACGCTTTTTAAAAACATTTTATGTTTTTGTTGTTGAAGAGATTTGAATGTCACTCCCCTGGGATGGCTTGGCCTAGCCAGATTTCTCTCTGATTCTCCACAAGTACATATTGAACACCCCGCATGAGCCTGGGCATTGTGGGCAGTCTGGGGGATGGGGAAGCTGGGAAAGGTAGTCACGCAAAGGCAGTGGTGGAAAAGAAAAAGTGCTAGCCTGGGAATCCAGTCCTGGTTCTGCCACCAACTGACTATATGGCTTTGCTCAAGACCCTTCCCCACTCTGGGCGTTCATTTCCCTATTTATGAAGTGAAGGGCTTTGACTAAGTGTTTGCACAGGTTTCTCCAAACACTGATGTTCTGTGGTTCTGTGATTCTAGGATTGTCTGGGGAAATATTGAGCTGCAGTCCAAGAAAGTCCCAGCTGCCCTTGCCTGAACTGATTCTCGTTGTCCTACAGAGACCTGAGGGGCGGAAGCCAAGCGAAGTGGCGCACAAGAGCATTGAGGCAGTGGTGGCCCGGCTGGAGAAGCAGAACGGCCTGAGCCTGGGCCACAGCACATGTCCGGAAGAGATCTTCGTGGAGGCCTCACCAGGCATGGAGGACATGGACAGTCTGGAGGATGCTGTCGTGCCCCGGGCTCTGTACGAGGAGTTGCTGCGCAACTACCAGCAGCAGCAGGAGGAGATGCGCCACCTCCAGCAGGAGCTGGAGCGGACTCGGAGGCAGCTGGTACAGCAGGCCAAGAAACTCAAGGAGTACGGGGCGCTTGTGTCTGAAATGAAAGAGCTCCGTGACCTCAACCGGAGGCTCCAGGATGTGCTGCTCCTGCGGCTTGGCAGCGGTGAGTGAGTGCCCCAGCAGGCCACCTACCACTCCACACGGGTGGGATGCTTCGTGCTGCTCCTCTTCCAGGAGGGCAACGGAGAGAGGCAGGCCAAGTGCCGCTGAGGCCAGGGAAGGACACAGACTTGGCTCAGCAGTTTCCCCAAGGAAGAGTCACTCCCCTCTCACAATGAATCCCATAGGAGCTTATGTATGCAGCAGCCTCAGCTATGGGAACGTTGGGGAACGTGGCTGTGAGAACACGAGCTGCTGAAATGTTTGCCACTATTCATTTATGCATTCATTCCGCGAGAGGCAGTACCAGGGACTGCAGAGACCCTATCCAAGAAGGCTTCAGGATAGTAAGGAGAACTAGACACGATCCTAAAAATATGCATTACTTTAAGCCAGAAAGTGATAAATGCCACAGGAGGGATGCTGATAAAATGATATGGGAGTTCAGAGGGGTGGAGAAGTTATTTGTAACTGAGGGCATGAGGGAGACTTCAGGAAGGAGGTGGGCCTCGGACGGTGGGCAGTGTTTCAAGGTGCAAGAGGAGGCCAAGGGCGGCACTCATGAGTTTGGGAAAACACCCGGAGCATACTAAAAAGGAGTACTACAAATGTGCTTTGAGGACAGATGATGGAAAGTCTTGAAAACTGTATCAGCTTGGGGTGTTTGGACTTGTTTTGGTAGGAATGGGAAGCATTAAAAAGCTTTTGTGCAGAGAGGCACATGACCTTAGGAAGATTAACATAAAGATGTGTAAAACTCCTTTGGTTTACTCATAGAAGAATTTAATAGGCTCTTATATTGTACCAGATTTTAACTAACCAGGTTTTTAGGCTTTCTTATCTAAAGAAGTGGTTTAGAAGCAAGAATCA